GTTTACAAAATAATGGATCTTCACAAAGAGTTGAGGATGGCTTCTTATTCTACTTAGTCCTCTTTTCCCATTTGGATAAAGACTTCTGGAAGTTCAAGTTAATTTTTTTTCCTTCCAGAATAGTCTTTTATGTAAGTGGCATAATTTAAAAATACATTATTTCTTTCTTTCTCTATCCTGTGTAGTATCCCTAACCCCTGAACTTCCATTAATTGTCTAGACATTTGCATCAAAAAAGCCAGTTCGCTTTTTAAGGGTCCAGTAGGAAGAGACATATAACTACTCACACCCTAGCATTGATTGATTGTATCATTTTACTTTCATTAGACTTGTAAGATCCACCCTGAAAATTTTAAAAGTAGGGAAGGGAAATAGCTTATATTAACTTTTGAGGCTGGACCTTTCCATGTCTTGAAATGGTTTTTCAATATGCTGTGAATCACAGAAGAGCTCTGATTGAGAACACAAAACTTAGAAGGGGGAAAGTGCAGATGATAAGTGCTATTAAGAGAGTCTCACAAACAATAAAATTAACTCTTTTTCTCTGAGTGAGTCTTGTTTAATTTTTTTGGTCCAGTTTATTCTGCCCAGAAACTAGTTGAGCTATATAATTATAGGTATGGTTTACTTTATTTGTCTCTCCCCCCCCCCCATTAGTCTTAAGATCCATACTACCCCTGTTGTAAGATTTAAAAAAAAAAAAAATCAACAAAACCCAACAGGGGTTGGTGTAAAAAAGTAGAAATTCTTTCGTTTCCCAAAGTCCATTACTAAGTTTCTTTCCAGGAAAAAACAAATAAAAAGGCCTCTGCAGAATAACTTAATTGGAGATATTTATCCTTTAAACAGTTATATGTAAAGGATTTTTATATATATCTTAAAATTTTTTTTGAACTTAGTATACTTTTCATCTGGTATGTATAGCTAGCTATCTTTTCCCTTTAATGGCTGAATGTATCCCATTGTATGGTTAAATCATAATTTATGTGCTTTCTGTAAGTGGTTGTTTCGGCTTTTGCAATCATTTCCCATTAAAGGCTTATACCAGATATCTTTGTACATAATCTGTTTGATTTTTATAAATAAGTCCATAGGATTGTGTATACCTTAGCAGTGATGTTGCTGGGTCAAGGGTTTATATAGTTTTCATTTTGATAGATTTTCTAAGGCTCACTTTAAAACATAGTCAGAGCAAGGTCCAGTGGCATTGAAATCTGTGTTGATAATATAGTATTTTCTGGTATTGCCGGGAAATTGTCTCATAGTTAGTTTCTAGGTTAGCCAATTTATCTTGAAAAGTATGACTTAATTTGGGGTCATAGGAAAAAGAGATCATATGTATAAAAGGAGAGAGTAGTTCTTTTTCTGTGTATATGACTTATTTTAAACAATTTTCAAAGGTGTCATTTGTCTCACAGTTAAAGTTTATCTCTACTTTTTATTTATACCTGTTTTATTGAGGTGGCTCCCTTCCTGTTCCAAGTTCTACACTCTGGCGCTTTATTCAGTTCTTCCATTTACCCCCAACTGTTTGCTGACCCCAAAGAACTTTGACTTCTTCAATAACTTGTTTCAACTAATGTTAGGAATAAGTTTAGTAAAAATTGTTTTTTGTTTGCATATGTACATCAGAGAGTAACACAATATTACAGGAACATTTTTAGATAGTATATATATGTGTGTGTGTGTATATATACACTTATATATGGTGTGTGTGTGTATATATATGTATGTGTGTGTGTATATATATATATAAAACTAAATTTTACAGAACTGGTAAGATGCATAACCAAAAATGTTGGCATTAGGGACCACTGGTTTAAGAAGATGAAGACCTTATGTTGGATTAATAAATCATCTTCAACTTTGGATACCTTTTTTTTTAAGTACAAAGTACTTTTAAATTCAGTTTCATTGATCTTTTAATAATGTCTACATTTCCCATACTCTTTGAAAGTTCCTGAGTTATAATGACAGTAGCAATTGTAACAGCAATTGTAAATGATACATAAAGGATGACTTTGTGTATCTTTAATTCCTTTTTGAGTCAGGGGCTTTCCAAATTGTTTTGAGAAAATAGTAAATAGTTTAGAAGAATGGAAATGATTTGATACAGCTTTCCAAAGGAAAGGTCAGAATAAGCAAATTTTAGCCTTGTGGCACTTTTCACTTAGTTGTAGAATAGTTTATTTTTTAAGAAATGTGATTAAACAGAATATTTGAAGAGAGTGGTTATTTAGTGATTTATATAAAATTATTTTAGACTTCAGGTTTGCTGCTTTAAAAAGATTTATGTAAATAAAATCAGATGCTCTGCCGTTTGTAGTATAAGTATTCAAGATATTTCTGGTACCAGGGAGACAAGATTAGCAAATTAGAATTTTTTTTTTCTTAAAGTTGTGCTTAAGTAAAGATATTTCTCTTGATAATAACCTTAGGAAATAAAAGAGTATTTAGATTTCAGTAGTTTCATTATACTTACCTGTTCATTTATTTTTGCTGCTGAAAGCTGTAATCAAAGTAGTAACCACTACTTGATTGATTCAGGAAACAGGCTACACACTGAAACACAGGTGATGCATTTACTAATTGTAAGCCTTTCAGATTGGGAAGGTAGGGCATGTTATTTTATAAATTCTAATAAAAATTGATTAGAAAACTGTACAGTGCTTTGAACTTTAATGTGAAGTTTCTTTGGATGTCATGACTATAATGTTAGTTGCTGCAGTATGAATATACAGCAACGAAAGTTAGAAGGCAGATTCAAAATATTGCCAATTTCTCTATAATAATGGAGAAAGTACTATGATTGTGTCTAGTTCTTAATGTCTTACCCCCTATTAAATATATTTTAAAATGTGCAATAATTTAAGACTGTATTTGTAGTGAAATATTTTATTTCATTTCAAGAGTTAAAAACATAAATAAAATCTTACAGAAAATTTCAGATTAGGCCCTCTCTGGTAGTGCAACAGGTTAGGATGTAGCACTGCAAACTGGCTGCAGTCACTTCAGTACAAATTTGATTCCTGGCCCTGGTGGTGACCCACATGGTGCAACAGATCTCTCCTCTCTCGCCTACTGTTCCCCTCAGCAGTGTACTTCATCAGTCTGCCTACTCTGCTCCCCACTCTGTCTCTGGTGAATCCTCTCACCAGAGAGGACTCAGACCTCTGGCCTTCTGTATATATACAGTTCTATATGTGTAAATAAATAAGTCTTTCCCAAAAAGTATCAGATTAAAGATAAAGATAAATAAAGACACACACAAACACACACACACACATTTAAAATTTATTTTTGCATGTAAGAATGGGAGTGTAGGCCATAGTTGCTGGGATGAGAGGATTCACCAAAGATAGAGTGGGGAGCAAAACAGGTGGGGCTACTGCAATATGCTGCTGAGGGGAGCATCAGTAGAATCAAGAAAGGTGTGCTGTGCCATGTGTGGGGATGGAACTCTGGCAGTCACAGTGCTGAGACTTAACCCCTCAGCTACCAGGGAAGTCACCTAAATATGACAATGTTAATTTTTTTTTTAAAGATTTATTTTGTTTATGTATACAAGAACTGGTATACAAGCCAGAGATGTTGGGGGTGAGTGGATTTACCTGAGACAGTGTGGAGCAGAACAAATAGATAATATACCTACACTGTTGAGGGGAGCAGCAGGCGAGACCGGGGAGATCTGCTGAGCCATGTGGGTCACTTTCCTGGCTGGGGATCGAACTTGTGTTGCAGTGGCTGTGGATAGCTTCATAGTGCTGCACTTCAACCCCTTGCGCCACTAGAGAGGCCCCAATAATGTTAATATTGTTAACTTTTTAGGCAAACCTATGACATTTATATATACACACATGCATATCCCTTTATATCTTGGAATATTTCCCCAGATTTTCAAATATTTATCAAGAATATTTTATATGGGCTATATGGACTTTTTATCTTTCAAGAGACTAATAACTTTCTATTGAAGTATAATAACTGATAGGAACATGCACATATTTCACAGGTGTATATCTTGATATTTTACAAAGTGAACCTACTTGTGCAGCCAGTATCCAGTTCAAGAGAATACATGACCAGCTCCCTAACACCCTTCTTTTTCTTCCTCTTTATTAGCAGCTCCTTCACCAAGGGTAGCCATTATTCTGATGTTATTTTTAAGAAAAACTCTATTGAGATATGTTAAATATAATAAAATTCATCCATAAAATTCAGTAATTTTTAGTTTACCAATAGTTGTGTTGACTATAGTAACGTGTGAATATGTATAAATATATTTTTAACTATTTACTTTTGTTGATTACATAGTATATTTTCAGTATTAGTTATTGTAAGTAATACTAATGTTTTCCATGTATAGTTTTGTATGTGTTTTTTATCTCATTAGTACACATTTCTAAGTATTTAATCACTGGTTCAAAGAATATGTGCATATTTTTGGCTTTTAGCTGTTCGAATCAAAATGTCTTAAAAAGTGGTTGAACTGATTTATAATCCCATACTCACTAGACGAGTGTATTTTTGTTATTTTAACCTTTTCAACATTGGCTAACGTTATGAATTATTATCAGTTCGGTGGATAAAATCTGATTGTTTAATATTTATTTTTTTGATTACTACTGTGACGATTATTTTTTATATTTAGTGACTACTAAATTTCCTTTATGATTTGCCTGACAGTTTCTTTAATGCATGCATTCCTTTTATTTTTTACAGTTAAGACACATATTAAAGATATGGATCTTTAGACTGGCATTACAAATACTTTTTCTCCAATTTAATTAATATCAGACTCATTTTTCATCATGAAAGAGTATAGAGCTTTATGCCTAGTTATCAATAAAAATATGTTAGTAATTTTAAAATGAGGCAATTCTAAATTACATTAAGTTAAATTTTCTATTATGTGTACCTTTCATAATTTGAAATAAAAAAGTCAAGCAAACATGTAAAACTAATTTATTATGCTTTGTTGCCAAACTTGGTCTTTCTAGGCAGTTATACTTAAGCATGAACATTGACGACAAACTGGAAGGATTATTTCTTAAATGTGGCGGCATAGACGAAATGCAGTCTTCCAGGGCAATGGTTGTAATGGGTGGAGTATCTGGCCAGTCTACCGTGTCTGGGGAACTGCAGGAGTCAGTACTTCAAGATCGGAGTATGCCTCACCAGGAGATCCTTGCTGCAGATGAAGTGTTACAAGAAAGTGAAATGAGACAGCAGGATATGATACCACATGATGAACTCATGGTCCATGAGGAGACAGTGAAAAATGATGAAGAGCAAATGGAAACACATGAAAGACTTCCTCAAGGACTACAGTATGCACTTAATGTTCCTGTAAGTAATTCCTTTATAAGATCTTAAACTTATAGTTAGAAATGTAATTTGTTTTGTGTTAAACAGTGCTAGAAGTCATTGAAGGAATCTCAATGTGCTTTAGAGGCTAGATAATTCAAATGGATATTCTTAAATAGATATACTAAATATTGACAGTTAACCATATTTGAAAAAGAAAACCAAGTTTTTGTACAAACTGTTTTAGAAACTTACCTTTTACAGGGTGATGTGTCTTAATTTTTTAAAAAGATACTTTTAAACTTTTGAACATCTCCTTGAAGTGGTAGATACAATGGGTGAGTCTTGAGCATAACTAGGAAGAGATCGTAACACTCAAAGGTTTTTTTCTTCAAATTCTATAACTTCCCCCAATTTTTTCATTATCTTTTTGACATATATCAGCCCTATATTCCTATTTACCGGAAATATTGTGATTCATCACCTAAAGTGTTTTGTTAGTGGACACCTTTATTTTTTTTTTTTTTACCTGATGAGCAATGAAGCTGCAAGCAAATTTTAATCATCTTTCTGTGATCTTAAACCTGGATTCCTTTTAGTACATCTAATATATTGTACTTTTTTTTTTTTTTTTTGCTTCAGGACCTTTGTCTATTATGCTTGTATTATTCCCCTTAATCATACCCTTTCTGTTTTTTAGGAAGCAGATAGTGCTTCACCAGCGGCAGCCTGCCACTTCTGTTCAGTCTAAATTATGTCCCTACTATGGGGACTTGTGATTACTTGTTTAATGTCTGTGTCTACCATCGATTGTAGGTTCTATGAGAGTCTGAATTTTGTCTAATTTCCCATCATAGTCCAGGTGTTGGCATATGATGTGAATGGATAGCACCTTATATTCTGATATATGTGCTTACTGACTTTTACTTAGCGTCGGTAATAGGCTTTTTCTGTTTTTAATAGGCTTTTCTGTTTTTAATCTGTTGATTGATTTGATTTGATGGTTGATAATAACTGGTTTTTGAATACTGAATCAGCCATGCATACCTGGAATAAGTCCCAGTTAGCCATGGTGTATAATTCTTCTTATACATTGTTGGATTCAGTTTGCTACTATTTTGTTGATAGTTTTAGCATCTATATTCATAAGAGATACTGGTCTAGTACTTTTCTTTCTTCTAATATCTTTGTCTTGTTTTGATAGAGAGCAATCCTAGGATGAATTAGGAATATTCTCTCTGCTTCTGTCTCTGGAAGAGATTGTAGAGAATTGGTGTAATTTACATTTTCTCTCTTTTCCCTTAAACTGGCTAACCTCTTTCTTATTTTTTAACCCTTTTAATTTTTAAGCATGCAGGTCAGTAATGCTAACTATTCACATTGGTAATACAACAGATCTATACAAGTATTTCTTCAGGCAAAACTGATCCTACAATTGATTAGTTTGACATTTCTCTTTCCCCCAGTAGTGGCTTGTCGATTTTTTTTTGATATTTCCAAAGAACTAGCTTTTGATTTTGTTGACAGTCTCTGTTCTAGTTTTCAATTTTATGGATTCATGCCATGATTTCTGTCATTTCCCCTTTTTCTGCCTATCTTAGCTTTAATTTGTGCACTCTCTTCTTTATAGTTTTCCTAAGGTAGAAGTTTAGGTGATTGATTTAGTCTTTGTTCTTTTCTAAATGCACTCAGTGTTATCAGTTTCTCTGTAAAAATTGCTTTCTCCACATCCCACAGATTTTGATAAGTTGTATTTTTATTTATGTTAGTTCATTATATTCTTTAATTTTTCTTGAGAGCTCTTCTTTGATCATTGTCTTTGTTTGAAATGTGTTGTTTAATCTTAAAGTATTTGGGCATTTTCCAGCTCTTTTTCTGTTCTATTTTAACTCTATTGTAGTTTGAGAGCATGTATGATTTCTGTTCTTTAAGATTTGTTAATGAATTTTATGTGCCTGAATGTGATCTATCTTGGTGGATGCTCCATCCAGTTAAGTTTAGAGTGAGTGTTTTGCTGTGACTGGGTGAAATAATGTATAGATTGCAATAGCTTTTATGGGGGGGAGGGGAGCTATAACCTGAATCTTTTCTAATTTCCATTTCAGGTTTTTTCTATACTTAATTTTCAAAACTTAGATTTGTATTTCTTACTCCTTAACTAAAAATTTTCTGTGATTCCCCTGTTGCCAGACAGCTAAAGCATAATATTTTGCATGGATTTTTACATAATCAGGTCTCAACTTATAGAGCCCTTTAATAGTCCTTCCTTCCCCTGCCCCCTCAGACCTTGAGCATCCTAAATTAGTAAATTGCCCAGGTCTACTATTTTTCTATTATTTCTAAATGTACTGTATATATTTGTGATATTTTTTGTTTGACAGTCTTCCTACTGCTACCCTTCCCACCCTCTCTGGCCAATCTTACAAACTTAACTCTGCACTTCCTTACTTGTAAGACTGTAAACTTTCTTTTCTGAATTTCATCATTTAGCTTTGCTTTCTTAATACCTGGGCTATAGTAGGCAAATACTTTTGTGAAAAATACCTATTTTTTTTTTAAATTGAGGAAGCTTTTAAAGAGCCAAGTACTCAGTTCCTAAGGTTGTGATTAGTTCACTGTTGATAGCTGCACAAACTGGTATAATCCATAGTACATCAATTTGTAGAATATTTTTGACATAAAGTTTCTTTGCATACTTCTCAATCAATTCCCTCTAAAATAATTGTTCTGATTCCCCTGCCCCCCATTATAGTTGGTATTGTTTTCTGAGAATTTCTTTAAAATGGCATGTGTACATGGTGAGTGTAGAAATTGCCTTGTTCTCAAACTTAAGGGGACTGCATTCAGTCTTACGCCATTAAGAATTTTTTTATCTGTAGGTTTTTCATAAATGATCTTTATAAGGTTGATGAAGTTTTCTTTCTAGCTTACTGAGCTCTTTTGTTTAACTCAGAATGAATATATAATATCATTAAGTGCCTTTTCTACATCTGTTAGATGATCATATGAATTTTTTCCACTACTTAGAGTGAATTACTTTGATGTTGAATTGACCTTGTGTTCCTGAAATAAAATCACACTTAGGTATGATATGTTATCCTTTTTTATATGTTTTTGGATTTAATTTATTAATTTTTTTATGAGTGATTATTTACTTCTCTTGTAGTCACTTTTGGGTATACTGACTTTATTTTGAAGGATTACGAAGATTTTCTTCCTTTATTTTCTGAGTTTGTATGAGATAGATATTATTTCTGCCTTCCATGTTTAATATCCTTTATTAAGCTGGGCCTGAGTTTTGGTGGGAAACCTTTTAGTTCCAGATTTGTTTTTAAAACATATGTTAAGGCCACTCATTTAAAATTGTTATCTTGATCAGTTTGTTAAATTGTGTTTTTCAAGGAATTTATCGATTCCCTCTTGGGTAATTAGTTAGAATTTTAATTTTTTTATTCTTGTAGTAGCTAAAGGAATAATAATGATTGCTTCTTTGTCATGTCTAGTAGTGGTGATTTGTTTTTTTCTTGATTTGTACAGCTAGAGTTTTGCCAATTTTATTGGTTTCCTCAAAGAATCTAGTTCTGGTTACTATTTTCTTTTTAACTTCCATTTATCTTATACTCTTTCTTTTTTTTTTTTAAAGATTTACTTATTTATTATACTTACAGAACTGGGGTACAAGCCAGAGGTGTACCTGTGAGAGGACTTTACCAGAGACAGAGTGGGAAGCAGAATAGGCAGATTGACAAAGTACTGCTGAGGGGAACAGCTGGCGGGTCAGGAGAGGTCTGCCGCACCATGTGGATCACCTTCCTGGCCAGGGATTGAACTTGTGCTATAGTGACTTTGGAAAGCTTCATAAATGCAGTGCTTTAACCCGTTGCACCACCAGGGAGAACCCTTACTTTCTTTTTTAATTTGCTCTTTTTTTCTGTAACTTTTTAAAGTAGATGGTAAGATGACTGGTTTAGTCCTACATGTTTTAGCTGTAAGCATATGAAGCTCTAAATTCTTAAGTTCCTTTCAATTTGTTTTTGAAAAGTGAATTCATTAGTATTGTTTTTGCCTAATTTCTGAATATTTTGAAATTTTCTAGATATTATTTTGTCATTGATATTTATTGTGGTCAGAGGATGTGTCTTTAAATGATTTCTGCTCTTTCACATTTATTGAGATTTGTTTTTAGGCCCAACATATGATTTTGTTGATGAATATTCTAGAGTCATTTGAGAAGAATATACATTACTGGATTGGTTGGTGGGTTATTTTGTAAATGTTAATTAACCAGGTGAATTTGGCTAGCTATGTTCTCCAGCTTTTATATGTCCTTATTGATCTATAGTCGACCCTTCAACAGCACAGGGTATTTAGACACTCATACCACATAGTTAAATCTATGTATGACTTTTGGCTCCCCCACAACTTTACTAAGTAGTTAGCTATTGACCAGAAATCCTACTTAAAGCATAAGGTTGGTTAGTACATATTTTGTATGTTAAAGGTATTATATACTATATTCTTAAAAAAATGTAAGCTAGAGTAAAGGCAGTGTTAATCCTAAGGAAAGAAAATAATATTTATGCTACTATACTGAATTTAGCAGTACCACCAGTTTACCTTGTCTGTTTACAAGAAAATTTGAACCTAGGTGGAAGTGAACAGTTCAAACCCTTTGTTCAGTGGTCAGCTCTGCTTCTCCAGCAGTTCAGGTTTGTTTGGAAAAAGACATAGCTTAAAGTTATGTTGTTTTAATAGTTGTTCTTTTTTGGGTTTTAGTCTTGGTTAATTCCTGCCTTTAAAATTTTATGGCCAGAACTCAAGAATTACACACATTTGTAAAATGTCTGTTAGTTTTTGCTTACACGATTTTTTTCACTTTTAATTAGATTTCATTTATTATCTTTGGTGAGGATATTGTAGAAGTTTGTGCTTGCACGATTTTTTTCACTTTCAATTAGATTTCATTTATTATCTTTGGTGAGGATATTGTAGAAGTCAGACTGTATTCTTTGCCCATTACATTCGTATAGATGACACATGCT